ACCAGATTATCTATCATCAACTTCATGGTATATTCCAAGGGCAAGACAATTTTTTTGAAGTCTGTTGATGCTTCAGACCATATAAAGAATTACAAATATATTTACAAATTATTGAGGGATGTAATCATGGAGGTGGGAGAGCATAATGTTGTCCAAGTCGTGACCGACAACGGTTCTGCATTTGTCAAAGCTGGAAAAAAGTTAATGAAGCATCATAATGTGTTTTGGACATCATGTGCAGCACATTGTATTGATCTTATGTTTGAGGCAATGGGGAAGAGAGAGAATGTTGCTACTGTGGTCAAAAGAGCTAGAACGATCACTAATTATATTTACAATCACGGTTGGTTGTTGGCAAAGATGCGTGAATTTTGCAGAGGAGAAATTATTCGTCCAGCTACCACTCGATTCACCACCAACTATATTGCATTAAACAGCCTACTCAAGAAGAAAGCAAGGTTGAAGCAACTATTCACCAGTGATGATTGGGCCAACCACAATTTTAGCCGCTCAAATACAGGTCGTTTGGTGGAAAGTATAGTGCTTGATCATGCTTTTTGGAGTCAAACAGAACATGTGTGTCAAGTGTTTGAACCTCTTTACAAAGTTTTACGGATCGTTGACACAGAAGTGTATCCTACTATGGGGGCTGTATATGAGTTGATGCGTGTAGTGAAGGATGAATTGGAAAGAAAACATGGTGCAAGGTGGGTCGTAAAAATAATTGAAGACCGATGGTATAAAACATTATACCACGATTTGCATGCAGCAGATATAAATTATGTCATAATTTGCAATTCATTTCTTTAGTTGCATAAGTATTATTTATCTTATTAGAGTATGTGTTTTCTTTGAACAGCATATTATTTGAATCCCCGATACCAATACAGACCCGGTGTTGGAGATGATGGTACCCTTATACGTGCTGTACATAATGTATACTCTAAATTAGACCCTGCATCACCAGCAGTTGGCCAATTTGGAAATGAGGTACACAATTACTTAAATTATAATAATTACTTTGTTGGATTAAACTAACACAATTTATTGTATTCAGCTAACATGGTTTAAAGATGCAAGAAGAACATTTGGAGAACCAACATCAGTTGCTGCTCGAACAAATATGTCTCCTAGTGAGTATAAACATATTTCACTATAAGTTTATAATAGAATTTGTTGGAGTTATTAGGCTTATCAACATTATTTTTCATTGTAGCTGAATGGTGGATCATGTATGGGACCGATGCACCAACTGTGAGAAAGTTAGCAATAAAAGTATTATCACAAACAGCTTCCTCATCAGCTTGTGAAAGAAATTGGAGCACATTTGCACTCATCCATACAAAGCAAAGAAATAAGTTGGCTCATAGTAGCTTGGAAAAATTAGTTTATTGCTACTACAACATGAAGCTTCAAATTCGAGATAAGGAAGCAGAAATCGATCATGTCGACCGTGGTGACCCACTAGATGTGTTTGATATTGTTGGTGAAGATGATGATACGGAGGGTAACCAACTTTTTCAATGGATTAGACCTCTTCATTTAGATGATGATGAAGGCAACCCAGCTCCCAGAGTTGCTGAAGAAGCACGTAATGAAGGGATAAATGTAGAAAGAGTATTAGAGGAGGAGGTGGGATCTAGCAGCGCTGACTCTTTCGAAGAACTTTTGCACCCAATGCCAAGCAACACTGGAATTCCACCTTTTTCCAATCCTACACAACCACAACATCGTGCTGATACTAATGATAGCTCTAGTACAAGATCAGGAGACTCACCTACCACCGGAGGTGGGAATGATGAAGGAAATAGTGGAGCTGGAGGTAGTGGAGCTGGAGGTAGTGGTGGTGGATATGGAAACTATTATGGACCACCACCTCCCGGATATATGAGCCCCTTCACTGGTGAGGCAAACTTCACGCATGCAACACAAGATGATGACCATGGCAGTAGGCGGGCAGGACCAGGAATTGGTGCCATAGGGAAGGACTATACTCACAGATAAAGAGGCAAAGGGATTTTGTCAAGTCAAGAAGATGACTCGTTATCTAGAACTTCAGACTCTTTTGGATTGGGAAGTAGTAACTATGGTTATACTCATAACCAACCATTTCCCTACCCTTCATATCCCATTCCTGTTGGGATGGAATCGAGCGACTCATGGAATCAATCCCAGCCTCAATCTTCAAATGATTTTTCTTATGGACAACCTCAACCAATCTCGGATCCATATGGGTGGCATATTAACAATTACATGCAAAACTATTTTGGGGATTTATCATTTGATAACTACTCTTCACAATACACTCATTCTACACATAGAGATGATGAAGATAGTGACAAATTTGAACCTCATAGGAACTCTATGTGGTACTAAAGTGTAAAATATTGTACTAATTCATTATATATAAATGATTATGGTGTGTTTAGACTTCTTTCATTAATTACTACATATTTTCTACACTCATAATGTTTGTCAGATCGCTATATAATCAACTTGATAATGTTAAATCCATCATGCAATGCATTTCCTTCCAATTTTTTGTGATAAACTAATAGATAATTGACTAAATAAACATCCTACAAAGTTTCAATACAAATTTCCAAGTTTTTCTTACAATTTCCGTGGTTTCCATGTAATTTTTATCGATATCGATATTTTACCGATATTTCCATCGATATTTCCGTGTTTTCGGACTACCGATATTTCCGATATCACCGATATTTTCTTCCTTGATCAAAACAATAGATTCACTAATACTTAAGAGTTTATTCATACTTTCATTAAGTATAACATAAGATTTTGTGGTATGCACTAGTGTAAATATTTTAAATTGAAGATCAAATTCATTCATTGTATTCATATGGGGTCAAGGAGTGTAGCTGTAAAAAATCATCAAAATCGGGGTTAAAATAACCGTTAAGTCGTTCATTGTATTCATATGGGGTCAAGGAGTGTAGCTGTAAAAAATCATCAAAATCGGAGTTAAAATAACCGTTAAGTCGTGATTTTTCGTTTATAATCGTCGAAAAGTTTTGTCCCGTTACTTTATCTCTGAATGTTTGTTTTTTTTCAATTTTTGGTGTATGTGATCTTGAAGTATATACAAACATGTGTTGACGGTTGGATCATTGAAACTAGTTTCGTAGAATGAGTATCCCATCAAAACAATAGATTCACTAATACTTAAGAGTTTATTCATACTTTCACTAGTGTAAATATTTTAAATTGAAGATCGAATTCATTCATTGTATTCATATGGGGTCAAGGAGTGTAGCTGTAAAAAATCATCAAAATCGGAGTTAAAATAACCGTTAAGTCGTGATTTTTCGTTTATAACCGTCGAAAGGTTTTGTCCCGTTACTTTATCTCTGAATGTTTGCTTTTTGCAATTTTTGGCGTATGCGATCTCGAAGTATATATAAACATGTTTGACGGTTGGATCATTGAAACTAGTTTCGTAGAATGAGTATCCCATCAAAACAATAGATTCACTAATACTTAAGAGTTTATTCATACTTTCATTAAGCATAACATAAGATTTTGTGGTATCCACTAGTGTAAATATTTTAAATTGAAGATCGATTTCATTCATTGTATTCATATAGGATCAAGGAGTGTAGTTGTTAAAAATCATCAAAATCGGAGTTAAAATAATCATTAAATCATGATTTTTTGTTTATAACCGTCAGAAAGTTTTGTCCCGTTACTTTATCTCTGAATATTTGTTTTTTGTAATTTTTGGCGTATGCGATCTCGAAGTATATACAAACATGTTTGACGGTTGGATCATTGAAACTAATTTTGTAGAATGAGTATCCCACTATAACAATAGATTCACTAATACTTAAGAGTTTATTCATACTTTCATTAAGTATAACATAAGATTTTGTGGTATCCACTAGTGTAAATATTTTAAATTGAAGATCGATTTCATTCATTGTATTAATATAGGATTAAGGAGTGTAGCTATAAAAAATAATCAAAATCGGAGTTAAAATAACCGTTAAATCGTGATTTTTCGTTTTATAACCATCGAAAAGTTTTGTTTGGTTACTTAATCTCTGAATGTTTGTTTTTTGCGATTTTTTGCTGATCATTGAAATTAGTTTTGTATTATTCGTATCCCATCAAGTTCAATGGTGTGTGTATATATATATATTTATTAAGTAGATTTAAATCTATTTATTTGTACGTATAATTGACCGGTACACAGAGTAGTACGTCACGTGTCATTATAAAAATAGTGGGACATGTCATATGTGTGATAAAAAGTTAATAACTTAAAAAAAATAAAATTTCTCTCCACTTTTATTAATTTTCATTTTTCCCTCTCTTTTTTGTTTCCTTTTTAGCTTTTCTTATAATTTTCATTTTTCCCTCCCTTCTTTTTCTTCAAAGGGCAGCAGCCTACCCATCTTTCCCTCTTTTTTTTTGTTTCATTTTCAGCTTTTCTTATAATTTTCATCTTCCCTCCCTTTTTCTTCAAAGGGTGCGGCATGAATGGAATGGAATTATGGAATCAATGGATGCATAGTAATTATTAATTATTATAGTTTTTATAAAATTTAATTTAAAATTTAATATATATATATAATTATTATAGTTAATATTTTGGGGGTATAATTATTATAGTATATATAATTATTATAATTATTATAGTTAATTTAATATATATTATAGTTTTTAGGGGTATAAAATTGTTAAATTAATATATATATATATATATATATATATCATTATTATAGTATTTTTTTATGGTTATAAAATTATAAAATTAATTTTCTGCTTATCATGTATCGTGTTATTTATGTGTATACCCGAATCAACCCGTTATCTTAACAGGTACTTATCGGGTTACCCGATAACAATCCGATTCATTATCGTGTTGACCCAAACATCTATTAATTTCGTGTCGTGTCGTGTTAGGAATTGCCATGTCTAGTTACCGTATTAATAGGCCGGCCCAACCTATTTTATCTGGCTGACACCCGCTTAATTATACATCCCAGAACCACGGGATTATTTGGTCAAGTAGAAAACTCACCCCTCTCGCTATCTCTGTCCCTCTTGCATCGCTTGCTCTTTAATCTGAATCCCAGGTTGTTGTGCCCTCCTCCTCTTCATCCTCCTCTTTGTTCCGCTCTTCTGCTTCTATTTCTCTCTCTCTCCAACCCTCCTTCTATTTTTCTTGCAAATTTCTTTCAATTGATTGAATTTGGTTATTGTTCTCCCTAATTTTGTAATTTATTATAATTTTGCCTTCTAGTTAAAATGTAAGGTTTGTCAGTTTTCATATCTGAAAAAAAAAAAAAATTGATCTTGCATGTGTGCCATTTCCCCTGCCAGAAGAACACTACCTACCCGGTTTGTTTTTCTGGTATGGGTCGAATCATTTGAAAAAAAAAAATCAATTTGGTTGGGTTTTTTTGGCAAGAATTGTAAAGATCCTGAGTTAGTTATGTTGAAAATTTGAACCCAGTTGAAGAAATGGGTTGGACGATTTTTCCCGACTTCTTGAGCTTTTTGGTGAATTGGTTATTATCTGTACGTTGCAGGTTATATTCAACAAGGGGAAATTGAAAGTGCATTTAATTTATTTTATAGACTCCTGCCATCTGGAATATCAAGCATGCTGGGTGCAGGTGCTGATTTGGCTGCAACAAGATCTGGAGAACATATCCAAGGATATGCTGTAAAAAGCTGGAGTTGGTAAATTCACCATTGTTCCATGTTCATCAATCATCAAATGTTCTCTTTAAAATAATAATATTTTTAAGTCTTTCTTATTCGATAGAGTATCAAACTAAATTAAGTATATTACACCGAACGTTCGACTAATTTAGCCAGTAATATCGGATGACTATTTATTCTATCGGACTGAAATAGTAAGTACAATCAAATTGCCAACCAAGGCCTTAAGTAACAAAATTGTAAAAGCTGGGTTTGGTTATGAGGATGACACATCCGAACCCAATCCATCCCGTTGCCATCCCTACGTGGATCACACAATTCATCTCATTTTAAGGCCCAAAAAGCTTCCCCAAATTTAATTCTCCAATTTTGATCTGGGGCCAAGGCCCAAATACACGCCAGCCGGAGATTAAAGTTGCATGATCAAATCACGCACCGACCAACTAAATAAGAAAATGGACCCCTCTCTCTCTCTCTCTCTCTCTCTCTCTCTCTCTCTCAGTTTTATTATTTCAAGCCAATTACCCTGTGCCGTCAGCCCAATTTTCTCATGCTGCGAAAGTGGAACCCTAGCACTCGTCTAGAAAAACCCTACCTCATTGTCCTTAGAATCCAAAAAAACACATACTTGAACAGTAAAGAATATGCAAGAAGTAGATCAAACACTTTAACTTAAATTGAACATGTACAAGATCAGTGAATGAATAGTAAACGATCCAGATCTAAACTTTGACATGCACCAAAAATGATGCCAATTGAGGTGATTGAATTTTAAGATAACCAATCAGAAAGAAATTCACCATGATCATATCTCTATCAATCTGTCATATTAGATTACCAACCCAGAAAAGAAAAAGAAGATAATTGCAAAGTTAAACAAAGTAGAATTTGAATCATATGGATGGATGGATGGATGGATCAAAGTTTGGTTGATCAGATAGCAAAAGTGATATTAACTAAACATCTAATTGCATTTAATTAATTAATGATATGGAATTGGAATGATTGGATTAAAATATGAGTGTGTCATGTTAGAAGAGACCTGCAAAAGCTTTCCTGAGCTGCTCAGCGTCTTCCACTGGAGAAGGAACCACATCTGGCACTCTGCAACTCGCCACTCTCTCTCCCTCTCTCTGTGTTTTTGTATGCAAGAAGAAGAAGAAGAGAGTGATGATATATACGAGAGTGTGGAGCTTGGCCTTTATATAGACTAAATACAGTCTTGTTAATCTGACTACTATACTTAGTAATTACATGCATTTGGAAACATTTTCTTACCTCTTTCTCTCTCTGTAATCAATCAGTCATGCTTTTTTATCGACAAATCACAATTTTATATGTGAGTTATTCGTATTTTAAGAATTAAGAATGGATAATATGATAAATAAATAAACAAAAATTACTGAAATGCCGGTCAATAATGTTTTTTTTTTTTTAATACAAACGATATTTCTATTCTATAGTAAGAAAAAGTGGAGGGTTTGACCCAAAACGAAGTATATTGAAGAGAAATTCCTGATCATCAGGACAAACCACACTAGTCAATAATTTGTGATTTTCATTGAAATAAATGATGGTGTTTGGTAGTGCAGTGTGACAAAAAAAGAGATATGTACATATATATAAAATATACAATGTATGTATATGCACTTTTTGTACTCAAATTGTGACAACCCATCCCTAATTTTAACTGGAATTTCTTTTTCAATGGTGTGTTTTGACAATTTTTCCCTTTTTGGGGAAAAAGTGGAATCTGACGTGGACGTTGTTTTCGACTGTGGTTTCTTTTCCTAGTTTCGTATGTAATTAGTACTCGTCATCACGAACGCGTGGACGTGAGTTAGACTCGATTCGGAGTCCAAGTGGACATTCCGTGTCGGGGTGTGTCATTTTGGTATCAGAAGCAGACTCACCATTCATTTTAGATGTGCCGACGAGGACGTCGGTCTCCCTAAGGGGGGATTGTAGTATCCCACATTGGCGGGGTAAGGGTTGGTCCCTGACGTACTTGCCCCTCTCTTCCTAGCATGGTGCGTTTTGGGTAGTGAGGTTCTCTTGCCCATAAACAAATTTGTGAAGGCGTGGCCCAAAACGGACAATATTATGCTATGGGGGAGTCGAGATGTGACACAAATGCAGCTTGCGGAGAGGGTAGTATTTACAACGAGTCATGCTTTTATAGTAATTTTACAATTCCAGGGTGACGCACTAGAACTGCCGCATTGGCACGTTGCATGCGATATGGCAAAATGTATGGTAGAGAAAGAAATATGATTCTTTTATATCGGAAGAAAGAGAGAGAATTGAGTTGTAACTAAAGTAGGAAATTATGGGACTGAAATGGTATTTAATAGGAAAAAAGGAAAAATTTTGCAACTTTTTATTTTTTATTTTTTTTTGAAATGAGAGGTCTTCAAATTTTGTAGATGACGCGTTTGATACAAAATGTCAAAATGGTCCAAGTGTTTTACTCTATCGGCCAATTTAGTCCCTATGTTTTTAATTTGATTAAAACTTGTCCATGTGTTTACATCTATTAGCCACAATCTGTGAAAAGACGGTTAAAATTGAAATGTCCTAAATCGCATAGTACTCAAGTGAATTGACCGAAGCGTAAATTTCTAAAGATAGACATTGTATCTGTTTAGTAGGTGTACATAAAATTACATTTTTGTCCTCTCATGTGCCTGACACATGTCAAATTTACCAGTCTTTTAACGAAATGTCTTGAATTGGCTAACCGATGTAAACACAGGGACCAATTTGGCTAAATTGAAAACACGGGGACTAAATTGGGCAATAGAGTAAAACACAGGGACCATTTTGACAGTTAAGCCTTTGTTTTTATATATATTGTTGTATAAGGAAATATTGTCTTTATAAAAAAATTTAACAATTTTATATAAATTAAATAAATTAACGGTTTTGTAGACATCGAAATTTCGGTGAAATAAATGTTCACCAATGTATTAAAGTTTCGACGTGTCAAGGTATACGTGGCATGCACCATGTGTCGCACAAATTGTACACATGGCGTGTGACTCAACAAAATCGGATGAGTCATCAAGGACACATGTCAACACTTGGCAGAAAGGTATTATTTGATTTTAATTAAATCAAATGCTAATTGATGGAGTTAAATCACGAACTGGCCAAAAAATCAAGTCTTGATTCTTTCGTCAATTAATCAAACCCACAATCAAGGCCAAATTCATTCGTAGTCAAGGCTTGGAAAGTCTATAAATGTGAGGCTCTAAGACAAAGAATGGTCCAAAAATCATTTCACACCCAGACACTGTAGCTTTGAAATTCTGCAGCTCTTAAGCACTCAAACCCCCAAACACTCAAACACTCAAGAAGACTCGAAAAATCATTCATGTTCTTTGTCAAATCCTGTGAAGAACCACCAAGCACCCCTACATGTGCCGATTCCTCCATTGCTAAGAGCCAAAACCTTGCGGCCTTCATTCATCCAAGATCAGGTCATCGCTACACATCTACACGTTTTGGAGATCGAATCAGAGGATCAAGTTGTAAAGAGATGGTAACCTTACAAATTGATTAATACAAATATTTACTTTGTATACGTGTTCTTATTTCATTTGTGGTAAGATTTTCGTGTTTACAATTTTGGCACGCTTGGTGGGCATTATCTCTATTTCTCATCTCTTTCTCCGTTTGGAAGTCAACACATCCAAGCACACTTCAAACGCAATGGCATCAAAGAAAAGACAAGTCGTTCTCGCAACCAAGGGAAAGAGCTTGAGTACTTCTGCATCGAGCGGAGAATCCATTAGCATCACAACTTGAAGCAAGGCAAAGGCATTCACCATTCTTCAACATGCCACTTCAAAGTTGGTGCCACTAAGGGAACAAGGGGAGCGTCAGATACATGAGCCCATCATCAGCCTGACATCATTGGGCACATCGAAGCATGCTACTGTGGCACGCACGAGGACACCTTAGAGCAGTAAGCAAGGTTCACTCACGTCAAAGGGTTCACCAGAACCCTCATTGTCACCAGCTTCAAACGCGGACTCAAGCTTGGGAGCTTACTACAGATCACCAACCAGCAATCGCTGCACGGAGACTTCGCCAACATCCTCGATGTCTAGAAGAGAGTCACATCCTTTGGTTGGTTGTGCAAGTCATGACCACTTGCGCTACCTTCATTGAAGAACAGCTGGCTCAAATGAATAAGGCGATTGTAAAAATGACCAAAACTTTCAAAGAAAAAGACTTGTAGATTGCTATGGGCATGGACAAGTTGGAGGCGTATCATGATGAAAGAGTTGGTCCTGACCCAAGGAAGAATCAGAATGACCAGAAGTCTGGTGAGAAAGAGAAGAGTCAAGCAAACAAGGCCAGAGACAAGCAGAAACCGGAGACTGAAGCTACATCGATGGGCTCTCTTTCCATCCAGCAACTCAAGGACATGATCGCGAACACCATCAGAGCACATGTGGGAGTCACTTCGCCGGATACACTACTGTATTCGAAGCCATATACCAGACGGATTGATGGCTTGTGAAAGCCGATGGGGTACCAGCCACATAAGTTTATGCAATTTGATGGAAAAAGAAACCCAAAGCAGCACGTCGCTCATTTTGTTGAGACTTGCAACAATGCGGAAACTAAGGGAGACTACCTCTCGAAGTAGTTTATCCGCTATTTGAACAGGAATGCGTTTGATTGGTACACGGACCTAGAGCTCGAGTCCATCAATAGCTAGGAGCAATTGGAGCGGAAGTTTTTGAACCGTTTATATAGTACTCGTCGCACTGTCAGCATGATGGAGCTCACAAGTATAAAACATTAGAAAGATGAGCCAATCGTTGACTACATCAACCAATGGCGCACTCTAGGATGAGCCAGTCGTTGACTACATCAACCAATGACACACTATAAGTCTTGACTATAAAGATAGACTCTTGGAGATCTCTTTCATCAAGATATGTGTACAAGGCATGCATTGGGGATTACATTACATTCTTCAACGTATTAAGCCTTGAACTTTCAAAGAGTTATCTACCCGCACCCATGACATGGAGTTAAGCATCGCCATCCATGGAAAGAAAGGGTTGATCACCGACTA